ATATGCTCTCTATAATTTTCTCCGAAATTTCAGAGAGATTGGTTCTTTCTCCACGGTTTTGCGAAATTTTCTCCATTTCTCCGAATTTTTCTACATTTTGGTGAATAACCCCATAGTGAGAAATTTTTCAAAAAAATTGTCGTCAAGTAGCGCGCATTGGGTGTATACACGCAGAAAACTCCAAAAAAACTCCGAAAAATCTCCCCACCTTTAAAATTGAGAAAAAAACAACTTTTTCTTCCGAAAATTTGCGAAAAAAAAACCGAGTTTTTCTCAAAACTTTCCAATTTTCAAGTAAAAAACTAAAAGCTTTTCAGTGATATGTATGGAGAGCAAGGTCGGTACTTTGAAAGAGAGGATCTTCCAAAGATGCGTCACACTCGGATGGGAATCGTTTCGTTTGTGAATAACGGAGACAATATGCTGGGTAGTCAGTTTTTCATCACTCTTGGGGAAAATTTGGATTACTTGGATGATCAACACACAATTTTTGGACAAGTCACTGAAGGAATTGAGACATTAGAAAAACTCAATGAGCAGTTGACTGATACGAATAATAAACCATTCAGAGACATTCGGTATAAAAATGAACTTCAATTTTTTTTTCATAAATGCATTTTTTCAGAATTTCTCACACCATCATTCTAGATGATCCGTTCGAGGAAGACACTCGAATCTCGTACCCTCCACGATCTCCTTCACCTACTTATGAAATGCTCGTAAAGGTAGCTATTAGTTTCTGACGAATTTTCCAAGACCGTAATATTCAGACCGATCAAATTGCGCTTGATGAGAAAGAGGATGAAGACGAAGGAAAAACAGCAGAAGAGATTGCTGAGGAGCTTCAACAAAGAGAAATGGCTGAACAGGCTCAAATTCTTGAAATGGTCGGAGACTTGCGAGATGCAGATGAAGTTCCTCCAGAGAATGTTCTGTTTGTTTGTAAATTGAATCCAGTCACAACGGACGAAGATCTGGAGATCATCTTTTCGAGATTTGGAAAAATCAACAATTGTGAGGTTAGTTTTTTTTTCAAACTGACATCGTCATCATATATTCTTCCTGTTTCAGATTGTTCGAGATCGTCGTAGTGGAGATTCTCTTCAATACGCCTTTATCGAATTCGACAACGCGCAAAGCTGCGAGCAAGCTTATTCTAAAATGGACAATGTGCTGATTGATGATCGACGAATTCATGTAGACTTCTCTCAATCGGTGTCCCAAAACTATAAATACAAACCAAGTAATCTTGTTCAAATCTAACTTTTGAATTAAGATGTGTTTTCTTATAGAATCGCAAAATGGGGAACCGCAAAAAAGAAGACAACAGTCTCCACCAAGACGTCAGGAAGTCAAGAGAAGCCATGAGAGAAGTCCATCTCCCAGAAGACGTCGTTCGCCATCACCGAAACGAGACAGAAGAAATTATGAAAGAAGAGATTCTGATCGACGTAGAAGGTATCCCGATCTGAAAACGAATTCGTTAAATACTTGTTTTCAGAAGTTCTACAAATGATCGTGATGGGAACCGTAATCGTGGACATCAGGATAGTCATCGTGAGAGAGATCGCAGAGACAATGTACGAAACTCGGACAGAGATAGGGATCGTCGTCACCATGATAGATCACCACACAGAAGACGAGACCGTCGCTGATAACAAATTATTTCTATTTTTTCGATATTTCTAATTGCTGCTTTCATTTGTTTTGTTCTCATACTTTTTCTCCACGAAAAAAAGATATTTATTTATTTATTTAGTCCAAAGCTGCCGTTGTTTTCCAGAGGCCTCCGCTTCGAGACCCGCCGTAAATCGACATGAATCAACAGGAAGAACACAGTCAAAACGAGTGATACAGTAGTTTACTGTTGCTGTAAATCTGGAAAACAATCGCAGCTTTGGACAGCGTTTTTCCAGGAAATTACTCCTGGAAATCAACCTTGAACGCGGCATTATCATATTTCTGTTCAATTTGTGTGATGAAGTTTACACAAAGCGGGAACCTACACCGGCACTTGAAAACTCATAAATAACTTTTTTAAAAATTTATTTTTTCGAATAAATCTATATTAATTATCTGCTAAATACCCATTTCTGAGAATTACTTCAACATTTTTATTGATGGAAAACTGGAGACCTTCCGATTATTTATTAGTTGGGCTACTGTAGTCTTTAAAGGGACATTATCGAAAATTGTCTTTCGTGGCGAAACACGAGCATTTTACCGCTCGGCGGCGCCAAAATGAAATCCGAAACAATGTCGTCTATTTTGCACTTCGCAATCTTTATTATTGTCGAATTTAAAAAAGTGGGACCTGGAATATTTCGCGGACGATTCCCGGTCAATTTTCGAGGCCTTGGCCCAGAAACACTACGGTAATAAACGAAACTTATCTCTGTGAATTTAGCGGGATTTTCTGGACAAAATTTAGATTTCTTGGTATGAAAATGATCGCTAGCATCTCTAGAATCTGTTTTTTCATCGAAAAAACCGAACTTAATTGCGGAAGTAGCTCGAACGAGGAGAAAATCTGAAATATTCCGTTTTTGCCGCACTTTTTCGTAGATCAAAAAAAGCTACGCCTTTCAAATTTTCAGGTCCCACTTTTTTTAATTCGACGATAGGCATCGTCATGATCGGTCGTCGTCGAAGTGGCGGACTTGCAGTTTGATCAATCGCATCTCGTTCGATTGCAGCACGTTCACCAAAACTGACAGGTAAGGAAAGAGTGTAAAATCACTAGGAGTAAGCAGAATGACATTAAAATGATTTTCCGTACTGAGATTAACAATTTTTGAAGAAAACATTTCATTTTATCGTATTCTAATTACAGCGTCTCGTCGAGTAACTTCGTCTAGAGGACAACTGCCAAGCTTAGCTGAGCCACTGCCATCGCCGTTGACAACTGGAAGACACTCAACACTCGGACATTCTGGATGTCCCGCATTTACCAAAACGACTTCGGCAAACGTCTCATTGCGTCTCGTCCTCCTTCAACTTCTAGCAGACCGCCGTCCACATCTTCCGTCCGGTCTGTCACATCGCAACGCTCAACTTTCGTCGCCAACAAGACAATCACTGCACCTGCTCGAGTTAGGCCAGTGGGAAGAGCAGTCGTTCCTGCTATTATTCGTCAACCATCACAAGTCGATGTACTCAAAGGAAAAGTCGCAGCGATGGAAAAGGATATTATGGAGAAGGACGAACGGTTGCAAATTGCAAAGGAGACAGCGGTAATGCAGAAGGAAAGCATAGGAATGTACAAAGAGCGGCTAGAAGTGATGAGCACGAAAGTGGACGCGCTGAACGTGCAAGTGGACGTGCTGAAGACGGAGAGTAGTAATCTGAAGGCAGAAGACGAACAAAAGAAGGTGCGAATCGGAGAATTAACGAGCCAGTTGAACGAGAAGGAGAGTATCATGCGGAAGCTGCACAATGATGTCGTTGACTTGCGAGGCACGATTCGTGTAGTTGTTCGTGTGCGTCAGATGCTCAGATCTGAAGTCGAAACGAGTGTTTCCGCTATCGAATACCCGACAATCAATTCCATCATTGTTAATCAAGGATCGAAATCGTCTGGAGCAATGACGTTTGAAAAAGTGTTCACACCTATCTTCACTCAAAGTCAAGTGTTCTGTGAGATCGAGGATTTCATTCTGGTAAGCGACAGGAAACTGTTCCTCCAACCATAAATCATTTCAGTCCGCTCTCCATGGCTACAATGTCGGTTTGATTGCTTTCGGGCAGACAGGAAGCGTTCTTATTTATCTGGTCCCCCTTTGACAAGATCTTTATTGTTTAATGCACATGAATTTTTGAATTTTCTAGGTTTTGGTTTATTCATTTTCTACACAAGTCAACAAATTCAACCAAATACTATTTTCGTGACTCTTTAAATACTTCAGATTCATTGTATTCACGATTTCGATTTCAGAAAATATGCTAACTCAGTCTGCTCACAAACAATAAATTGCAGGCGGGGTACAATGGAGTTACAAAAGTATATAGAGGATTTGAATGAGAAGACAAAGAATGTGTATACTCCTCGCCCCCAAAAACATATCAACCCTCATTTATCACAGCTGTATCCGATGGAAAGTGATGTGGAGAAAGCTGTTCTGAGCATCTCAAGTCTGTTCAACTGCTCAGAATCGAGCGAAGATATAATCAAGACACTGACATGCGACTCGCTTGTTGCCCTCGCCGTAGCTCCGTTAACACTGCAAAACAAAAAGGGAATTGTGAAAATTTTAATGCAGTGGTATGTGTGAACATCTGCAATCAGCTTTTGATACCATTATTTCAGGTCATTCATCACTGATGTAGATGATGAAATATTATCTGGAATCATTCAATCTTTACGCTTCGCCGATTTACATTTCAACGAACTATACGCCATCCGAACCGCATTGTTTAATGTGAGTTACAGAAATTGTTTTATATAAACTACAAAAATCACAGTATTTGACTAAGCCATCGATCAACGACGAAACAATTCTGAGAATCCTCCCATCTGGTAAACTTGATCTGCAGCCGCGTCAGAATCAACAGTTCAATGGTGACGCCTGCTTGGAGTACACTTATGTTCTCTCGAAGCTTCAGAAAGTCACTTCACTCGGCGTGCCGACGATGTTCAAGACACTGACACAATATGATTTCCGGAGAACTACATACTTTGAACGATCACATCAAATAGTTTCACAATTATCGACTTTTAAAGTCTCTGGATTTGTGGTAAATGAAATCAATGGAAATCGTTTTGCAACTGGTTTTGGGAAAGCTATCAATGATGTGGAGATTACTGAGCCCCCACCGCAAACCATTAGTCATTACTCGGCAGTTGAAAACTATGCCAACGGATTGGAATGGGTGACTGGAAAGAGTATAGACCGAATTTCATTACAACGGTCGATTGAAACACCAAAAAAAACTGATTACGGAGATGAAGAAGAGGAAGAAGAGGAGGAGGAAGAAGAGGAGGAAGAGGAAGAGGAAGACGACTCAGATCAAATGAATGCAGAATTATGGACGTATGACTCAGGTATGTTCTGACTGACGGTTCCAATGGATCATATAATCATTTAGGCTACGACGGCTCTCCACAATTGTCCCCAACAGATACATCTACTGCAACATTTTTCGATTTTTCCCTCTCACTTCAAGAATCAGTTCAAGATGAAAAATAGTATATGCTACGATATTGTCTGGAGCTTTCCACAGTATCACAATCTTCTAACCATTTTACTGTTATTGCTCTATTTACTCACTGGTATTTGTTGATATCGTCTTTCCAATCGTTTTTATCTGTTACATTCATTTTTATCACTTTGTTAAATTTGTTGTTGTTGTTGTTGTTTTCGTTTTCAAATAAACGATTTTTTTTGGTTTTCATCTGAATTAAAAACCCGTTTATACAAAAAAAAACCAAAAACCTATTCAAATTATAGAAACTTTTCACAAATGGAACAAATTGTAGGAAAGGTACATATCCTATAATCGAAAAATCGAAAACTTTCTTAAATACAATAGCTGATCATGAATCGAAATCTAACAATCTTCAGAAAAATGAATCTGGCTACATTAGAAAAATTAGAGTTCAAGGAAACTATTGCGGGTAATTAACAGCCACCTTGTACAATCAAAAGATTGCTAATTCGGCCCCAATGAAAAATTAGACTATTTCCCTCATTTTCACGAACCAATCAGATATTGTACACCAAGGCGTGACCTGTTGGCGAATCCAGATCATTTTCTGATTATCCCTCGTTTACAGAATATCTCCTAGTTTTTTTTTCTCATTCCAGATTTCCACTGCGAGAGAGGAATCGAATTTCAACGATGGTAAGAAACTGGAATTCGGTTTGTGGTTCTGAAATTTGCAGTTCTCTTTCCAGTCTTTCGATGTAAAACAACTTCATACTCTTTCTAACAGTATACATAGTATGAGGTTTGACGACACCGATCTAGGACGGAACAGCATGTTATTATTTTCCTGTCTGTAACTTTTTCACAATTTTTTTAAATTTCTGAGCTGCTCGTTATGCAATTTGCTATGTTCAACCACATTACAAAACACATTATACTGGTGGGCCGATTTTCAGAATTTTTGATTTATGAAATTGAAAACTTTCAGTTTGTTTCTTCAACATGAAAATTATGCTTCTATACGAATGCAGGAAGAAAACGGGATATTCGAAAAGTGGGCATTTTTCTTTCAGTTTTTAAATACAGTTTCTTTTTTTGAGGAGTGTGCAAATCAATTGTCAACAATGGATTTGCTCAACTATGTGTGCTGAACGAAGGAAGAGAAGAGTGTAAATATCTTTATTTTATTTTTGATTAAAAAAAATTTCAACTGGCAATGTACTTTGCAAAGGAATCAAATTTCGTAATGCTTTTGTGATTTATCCAGAAGCTGCTTGGTTCTGGGGAGCAATTGGAATAATTGTCGGATTTGTGATTGGACTGATTGCAATAGTACTTCTTTATAATCTGTGTCTGAAGAAGAAGTTCTCGAAAAACAAGACGGACCAGAAGAATACCACAAAATCAGTGGAATCGAAAAATAATAAGAAGATTGGACAGGCATTGAATTTATCTCAAGATACGAAAAATTCCAAGGATACGAAGAAATCTCAAGATTCTAAAGATTCTAAAAATTCCAAGGATTCTAAAGATTCTAAGGATTCTAAGAACTCAACAGATTCTAAAGATACCAAGACTACAAAAACTACAAAAGCCTCAAAATCTACAAAAGCTACAAAAGCATCGAAAACTTTGAAAAAGGGAAAAATTAGTAAGACACTGAAAGGATCAAAAGATTCAACTGCATCATCTGGTTCAAAGGATACCAAAGATTCTAAACGACCAGTGAAGACTGCATTTGGATACAAACATCAATAGAACCGGCTTCAAAAGACAAAATGAAAAGTCTGAAAGGATCAAAAGAGAAAGGAAAGCCATTAAAATTGAAAGCATCTCAAGAGAAAACAGCAATCAATATTTCTTCACCAGCAAATTCGAAAGAAACGACAAAAGGAAAACCCAAAAAGCCATCGTCAACAGATGTGAAACCATTGAAGTCATCTCCAACGAATACAGCGAAAGGTGGATCCAAAGAGCCTCTGACTCCAACGAAAAACCTTAAGAGACCATCGGCTGAAACAACTCCAATCTCAAAATCTTCTCCAAATTCTCCAGTTGGATCCAAAGAAACTGCTGCAAAAAAGAAGACTGCATAACTCGATTATTCTAACTCGATTTTAAATAATTTAGCTCGATAATCCAATAAAATTCCTAATTCTTAAGCGCCAACTTTGTAGTGTCCCAAATGAAACAAAACCGTGACATATTACTTTCCAGGTTTTACTAAAATATTTCATGTAAATGTAATCAATTCATCCAACAACCTGAAAATGGGAGACTTCTCTGTTCACTTTTTCGAAGATTCGCCTGTTAGCCGTAGTGCAATGTGAGACATCTCGTACTACCTAATCAACCAGTTTTGATGTATTATTTTCAGTGGAAATCTGTTGTACGTCTGTGTTCTTTTCACACATTCCTTTGAATTTCTGAGAAATAACACAAATACTCAAAAAACCAAACGAGAGGCGACTCCTGGAGAGGACATGGAAGCTTTTACGAAAAATTTAACAATTATGAAAACGGAAGGTTAGAAGCAATAAAGCTGAAAATTTAAGGCTAAATTTGTAATTCAGATTGTTATGAGACGGTTCCATTGATGACTAATGGATGGTGCAATAGTACAGGGGAGCATAAACTAGGTCGCTACAGTAATCCGCGTATTATAAATTTCATATAATCAATTTCAGAAGAATGTGAGCGTTTTGTCAATAATGGAGTATGGGATGTTTGTCAGTCATTAATCGATCGTTCGTTTTCCCAACATTTCCAATGATTATCAGTTTTGATTTCAGAAGAACAATGCGGTGGTATAGAATACAAATATTCAACTGATGACTATTTTCGGCATCCCGCACTTTGGGGTGGTTGTGGATTTTTAATTGGATGTATTCTAGCTCTAATTGCATTTTTAATTGGATCTTTTATTTGTGGAAAGTGCTGCAAGAAGAAGAGTTCAACTAACATTCGAAATGGTACTGGATCTGGTTCAGCATCAGTTGAAGGAGGAAAAGCATCGAAGGGAACATCATCCGATACAAAAAATTCGTCAGGAGACAAAAAGGGAAAAACAGTGAAGCCAACAGTTCCCCAATCTCAATATTTTGATGATTAGTTTGCGGCGGATGGTGGAAAAAAGAGTGTGTTCATTGGCGCAAAAACAATGAGGGGGCCAGCTGATAAACCAGTTGCAAAGAATCAGACGGTGGCCATGAAACCGAACAGAACAATGGCTAAATCCGTGAGAGATAATGAAAAGAAAAGAAAGAATAAGCATGGAAAGACGGTTGGAGCATTGACTGCAATGGAAGTTACTATGTACAAGTGATTGAGAAAATGACATTCTCTGATTTAATAAATATAGTTTTATATAATGAAAATCTTAAAGAAAACGTTTAATTTATACTTTCTTGGAAGTAATTTAGAGAAAATGAAATTTGAAGGAGGGTGAAAGGATTACTGTAAGGGAAAAATTTCGAAAATGAAGAGGGCTACTGTAAGTGAAAACATTGGAAAATGATAAGGATTACTTTAGGGGGAAGTATTTGAAAATGAAAATTATTACTGTAGAGGGAAATACTGTAGAAAGAAAAATATTGAAAATGAAAAGGGTTCCTGTAGATAAAAATATTCGAAAATGATAAGGATTATTGTAAGGGAAAAATACTCAAACGGAGAGATATAATCCTAATTCTATTAGTCAAAAAAGTTCTTTAATAAAATTATCCCAACAGTTCTAAGATGTTACTGTACGATCACCTACAGTACCCCGTTACATTTTTCAGATGGTTTTGAAATATGCGGTTCCATATGTACCCTATCAGACATCAACTAGTTTTATACCCAAAATCATTTATTGTTAGAATATCAGATGCAAGAAGCAGCAAAGTATTTGCTCATATCAATATGGTAGAGTTTATGTTTGGTGAGAAGAACGAAAATGTCTCGAACGTATCCTTGTTTCACTTTCGGAAGTTCCTCGATTATCTTTATCAAATCCTCAGTTTGTTGATCAAAATCATCAACTGTCAATTGATAGCAAATCGCTTTTTTCTCAATTGCGGTCGTTGTTTTTGCATCACGAACATCGGCTTTAGCCTGATCCATTTTTCTACGAGCATCATCAAATCTCTTTCTTTGTGCCATGAATGGATCATAGTGTTGTTCGTGGAACCGTTTCATATGACGAATATGATATGATTGAACAGCCTGATAACTTTTCCTTGATGCTGCTGCCGCCTTCATTTTCGCAGAAAAGTTCTCGAATGCTGGTACGTGGTTTTGTGGGACATAACTCTGAAAAAAACGATTTTTAAAGAAGTATATTTTTGCACGAATCAAGATTGGATACCTTGAATTCTCCGAGTGCTTTTGCCAACCGAGCAAACGAATCTTCCTCATTTTTAGAGCTCTGAAAAAATAATACTATAACAAATAATCATTGAATTCTTACTTTGGAGGAGAATGGAATGAAAATATTCTCCAAGTAAGACGAGCATTTTCCGACGGTTTCATCAAATTCTTGATAATGTTTGAGGTCCTGGAAATTGGTCAAATTCCGAAAAAAATAAAAATCCAGAAAAAATATTGCAATTACATTGATAAAATCCTGAGTCATTTCCGTTTCGTCGGTGACTTTTTTGTTGACATTGAACACAAATTTGAAGAATTTCTTTCCCTCTTTTGGATCTTGCTCACTTGGTTGTTGTCCTCCTGTTCCAGTCACTGCCTTTTCATTCGTAGATCCTGCATTCGAATTCCCTCCATCAGATGCCATTTTTCAATGTGTTTCCGATATGTGAACGATTGTTGAAATAAACTTTTTTGAAAATTCAGAAAATTGTGAGGCAGGAAAAACTGTCGCGTGGGAATCATCGTATGCATGTGTTTCCTTTTTCCCCACTTTTTTTTTAATGTTAAACGTTTTTGAAAGGAGGTTTTGATTTTTCAGTTAAATATATTTGGTTTTATATAAACTAGGTTAAATTTTTTTACTTCTTCTTTTGCTATGCTCACAATGCCACTGGATCGAATCATTCGAAGCATCGAATTCTTATTTTTCTTCCCTGGGAAACTACAGGGTGGCGCACAATTAAAGTTTGCACTAGCATGAAATTTGAGTAAAGCATTGTACTGGGCTCGAATTTAATGCTTCATCTCGTGAAAATCACAAGTAACGGTTCATTTTTGGAGAATCATAACAGTACCTAGACTTGAGGAATCGCTTCGAAAATTTCAGTAGGTTTCAATCAAGCGTAAAATTACATTTCTACCAACTTTCGTGCTTCCAAGATACTTATGCCTAAAGATATGCCCGTTGTTTCCTATCCTGGGAATTGTGCGCCACCCTGTACGATAAAATGTTTACGGAGGACAGCAATAAACCCATATTTTCAGTGTATTCTTTTTTTCAACTGTAGATTTCAAAACGAAACGCTTTTCTTTTGAACTAGAAGCCTCTTTGTGTACACTTCGTATGTTATTTCCAGCCTAAACATCCTCCATTCAACATTTTTCAAAATCTTGAAATTATTTTTCATGACTTATATACTCTAGCAGGAATATTCTGTTTTTATTTCATTAAATTTCAGTACCTCTTTTTCACAGAACCTAATTGTTCATTCTTCTTTTACATCTACATGATGTTCTCTGACAACTTCTATTGAACATAAATCGTTTTTATTGCTCTTTTTAGATTTTTGATAGTAGTTTAGATCTTCGTTCCCATGTCTTCCCCAGAGGGTCCGAAGGGATTAACCGAATGAGTCGGAATGTTCAAATAGATAGAAATCCCCGTAGGAATCTTGTAAAAACTCTTTTTGTTGTTGTACATTGTCTCTGATCCTCTCACAAATTATAATTTGTAAACTGTCATCTGTCCCTTCTTCACCTCATCAAACCCAAATTGGCCCTAAACCAAAGACATCGAACAGAGGTAATGGAGCTCCTTATTCCTTCTCCCTTTTTTCGTCTTACTTGTCCGGTTGTTTTTTAATTGTTGTTTGATGAAAATTATTAAAGTTTTCCACTGCGCTTCAAGAAACAAAGCTACCACATAAAATGTTGTTTGATAGAGTCTAAATTATTTTTTAGATGTGGTTTATCATAAGTTTAGTGGTTTTAAAAAGTTTGCCGTTTTCCTTATTCCCTCATCCGCATTTCAAGAACTCAGTGGCGTAATATGTTACGAAGTCACCAAGCTTTTAATTGTGCATTGTACTATTATATGATTGTAGTGATTGTCACTTGTTGGATTAGAAGACATTCTTATTGATAACCGGATGACTGCACAATTGCAGTAAATAGTTTAACTTGATCTCACTAGGGAATGGTCAGAACTTACCTCGCTATCGAGACATACAAGTGGATCCATCGGAAAGAAGATCATTCCCTGGTTCCAAAACAGTTTTCAAATTTTGCTAAATGGCCCGGAGAACCGAGATATTTGTGTTCCAAAATCGACCAATAAATTATTATTTTCCAAAATTATATTATTTTCCAAGCGTTATTTTCCAAACCAGCTTTGGTCAAAAAATGAAAATAAAGATATTCATTTAATCTAATTTGGAATGGATTACTCTTGCTATTTTGAGCATTTTCGGTGTTGAAACAAAAATTCTAACTCGTTTCCTTCTAGCTGAAAATTTTGATTTTTCATCCGACTTCGAAAAAAATCACTGAAAATCGGTCGTCGTGAAAATTTTAAGATCATTTCAAAAAAGATAAACGCAGATTCAAACACAGCGTAAAAAATTACACTAAAAATAGTTGTTTGAGTTCGCTTATCCTGAGCACAAAATGAGTTTTAGTCCGATAAGTGCGAAAACACCATGTGGGGGAGTACATGACAACTAAAATTCGCCCAAAATCGACCATCTCCAATTTTCCCCTATACCACCACATACAATATCAGACTCCTAGGACCATTTTGATTTTTTCCATTGCCATGGTGTTTTCGATTTTCTGCTTCCTCGATCTCAACTTTTCCGTATCTATCTTGTTTCATCCAAAATAATATCGGTTACGATTTCTCTTATTCGATATGTAATTCTAATTAAACCATTTTACCAAGATTGTACAGCCACCCATCAGACCCAAGAATATTTCCTTTAAATTCAACATAGAAAACAGGAATCCATGTTTTACAAAAGTCTTCTAGTTGTAACTAACATCAAAATTGACTCCTACAAAAAACCCTGGAATTTCGTATTTATGGGGCATTGGGGTTATATTGTTTTTTCTTTCATAGGGTATTGTTTGTTTCCTACCTCTGGGGCTTTTTTCCCATTCGCACTTTCCTGGAAGGCATCTGAATCATGTTTCCTATTTTTTCTATGGCACACCTGTTTTTCAAGTTTAGCTCCTGTCATTTAGAATCTTCGATAGAAACACGTCACACTACCTTCCATTAGCAGAGCATTTTCATTTTGGACGCTGCGGTTCCTATGGAGACTCCGCGGTCTTCATCTAATTGCTCATTCAGTTCCGCCACTTTATCCTGTTTCATCCAAAATAATACCAATTTCCATTTCTCTTATTTTGAAAATCAGCAATTTCGTCTTTATTGGACATTGGGTTGATAGGGTTTTTTCTTCAAGAAGGTAAATTTGTTCATTTCCCACCTCTGGAGCCTTTTCTCCCGTTTGCACTTTCCTTGAAGCCATCTTAATTATTTTCCTTTTTTTTCGTATGGCACACCTGTTTTTTACACCTGTCAATCAGATTCTTCAATAGGTGTACGTCACACCCCCTTTCTTTAGCAGAACGTACTCATTTTACAACCCTATAGGGTCCCTACGATGACTCATCTCTATCTAATCGCTCGTTCCGCCTATTTTTCCAGGAAACGGATGAGTCATGAGTCACTCACAATATTATTCATGCATTTCGATTGTTTGTCTCTAATTATTTGAACATGGTATTGACTTTTTTATGTTGGCAAAAACGGAGTTGCGGAAGAGAATAGCTGGCCAAACTACCGTGATTTGCAATTTTCGTTTCCGTTTTTCTCGATTGTCTTATTTTTTCCGGAAATTTTTAGATTTAGAAACATTTTTTTGGAGGTTGTCTAAACAAAACTTGTCAAAAAGCAAAAGTAATCAAGCGAGACAAAAGGACTGAGAATTTTGTGTTACGGTAGTTACTGGAACCGGTGGCCTAGCCCACAAGCTTTTGACCCCCACAGCTCCGATATTTTATACAAGCATAATCTATGTTTCTTTTTTGATACGTTGCCATGTGTTATCCTTGTCTATTCCTAGTAATTTACTATTTTTCAGTACTCCTCTACTCCCCTCCACCCCACAATGACTCCACTTTCCTACTCTGCTATTGTTACCAAGAACAGAGTAGCGGAAGTGTCGACGTCAGCTCCAGAGGCTCCAAAATGCTCACTAAAAATTAGTCCATCCAAAATTAAGATGAGCATTAAGCACAAGAAAGGACCAGTCAACTCCTGTGGAATTGACTTCGAGAAGGCCTACGTGGAGCATAAGGTATTTTTTCAAAGGATCAGCAACCAAAATCAGTTTCATTGAATTTCAGATCTCCCAAGAAATCGAGTCGTTCGGCAACACGGACCATCACGTGGCATTGGAGGAAGCTGCGAAATGTTTCAAGGAAGCGATGTATCGCTGCTTTCCAGGTAAAATAATGTTTCGTATGTACCGTATACACTCTCATAGAAGTACTTGCACTATGAGCCGACATATACTTGCACTTTGAGCCGACATATCTCGGTTTCTGTGAAAGATATGAAAAATTGTCAACAGCCAAAATGTTTGTCATAATATCTTCCTTATATCTAAAACGCTACACGCGTCTGTTGTAAGGTTCCGTTTCAAATGTTTTTTTGAAACTTTTGACGAGAAGTTGACTATTCGTTTAAATTTTTTAACAATCAAAAATTTTCAAGCCTCAAAATAATCAAAACCGTCAAAATGTCAAAAGATTCGTTTTCAAAATAATTATAAAACTCAAAAGGTCAAAAAAGTCATTTGTCAAAAGATTCAAATTGAAATTCGTTGACTTTAGTCAATTATGATTAAAATGCCTCAAAAGGGTCGAAGATGATTTTTATGCGAATAGGTGAAAGTGTGAAACAACGAAATGTGGTATAGTAGTGAGAAGCAGAGATGTTCTGCTTCCGGATTCCGGATTCCGTATTCCGGTTACTGGATTCTGGGTTCCGAATTCCGTATTCCGTATTCCGTATTCCGTATTCCGTATTCCGTATTCCGTATTCCGTATTCCGTATTCCGTATTCCGTATTCCGTATTCCGTATTCCGTATTCCGTATTCCGTATTCCGTATTCCGTATTCCGTATTCCGTATTCCGTATTCCGTATTCCGTATTCCGTATTCCGTATTCCGTATTCCGTATTCCGTATTCCGTATTCCGTATTCCGTATTCCGTATTCCGTATTCCGTATTCCGTATTCCGTATTCCGTATTCCGTATTCCGTATTCCGTATTCCGTATTCTGGATTCCGTATTCCGTATTCCGTATTCCGTATTCTGGATTCCGTATTCCGTATTCTGGATTCCGTATTCCGTATTCCGTATTCCGAATTCAGTATTCTGGATTCCGTATTCTGGATTCCGTATTCTGGATTCTGTATTCCGTATTCTGGATTCTGTATTCCGTATTCTGGATTTGTATTCTTTCCGGAGAAAAATAATAGCGTTGTAACCAGCCGGTTTGAGGATACTACTGATTATTTTTCGTAACTTTCGAAGTTATCCGACACTTCCGACTCTTCTTGAAGCATTTAACACTTTTGACGAAATATGATTTCCACTATTTTTCATTTGCCACGTTTGACTATTTTGACGATTCACTTTTTTTTCGATTTTGAAGCGTTTGACTATTTTGATGATTATTTTCCGTGAGAAAAAATTATTTTTGAGCAATTTGATTAATCAAAATTGTCAAATTTCACGTGATTTCATAAATTAAAAATTTGAAACGGAACCTTAGTCTGTTGGTCCCGGTGTCACTCTGCCGACTTTTGAAAAAATTGAAAAATAAATATAGATTTACGTGACCTTCAAGAAAAAATAAATAACTGATATTGAACAACCTACCAGTAAAAAATTAGGTTAAATCGCGCCGAAGGCGCACGAGCTTGCTGGTTAAACATATTTTGATATTAAAAATAAAATTTTCAGATGCAAAATGCCTGATGACTGGATCCCTGGCTGCCGGAGTAGACATTCATACTTCAGATCTTGACTTCTCAATTAAGATCCCAAGTATGACCCAGGGATCAACGTTTCAGAAGCTAAAGGAAATTTCGGACCGATTGAAAAGTGTTTCGTACAAAATCAAAGACGAACCAGTTTTTTATAAGGTTAAAGTCCAGAGAGCCAATGTAAGCAAATCTAGAAAATCAACAAACCTCAATTTTTCTGTTTTTCAGGTACCTGTCCTTCAAATGAAGCACATTAAAACTGGCGTTATTATTGATGTGACCATTGACAACGACACTTCAAAACGGAACACCCAGTTGCTCAGATGGTACGCCAAAAGTGAGTTTTCTAAACCTGAATTGTCAAGTATAAATTGAATATTTCAGTTGATAAGAGATTCCCGCTCCTTTGCAAAGCGGTCAAAGCATGGGCATCGAAGGTCGGAGTGGAGGGATCCAGTAAGGGAAGACTCAACAGTTTTTCCATTTGTTTGATGCTTATCAACTACCTTCAAGGTTTTTACTTTTTTTCGAATGTTAATAAAAAAAAATAATTTCAGCGGGAGTCACACCAGCAGTCCTACCTTCGATCCAGCGATTCTCCCGAAATTTCAATAAAAATTTTGCTGTAGGAGATAAATATAACGATTTCGATTGGAGGGAAAAAATTGAAAAAGATGGAAAATTTGTGCTGGATGCAAATAAGAGCTCTTTGGCAGCTCTTTATCTTGGATTCCTGAAATACTATTCCGAATTCGAGTAAGTTTTTTTAGATTCTAAAAACTTTCTAAATATATTTTGTTTTCAGTTTCAAAAAGAATTGGATCTCTGTGAAACGAGGAATTGTGATGGAGAAGAGATGGGATGAACAAGAGAATCGGTTGGGTGGATTGCCAAAAGATTCCCTATACATCGTAGTTGAAGATCCATTTTTGACTGTTCCCAGGAACTGTGCGGGAACAGTTCGACAGTCGAATACTATGAAGAGAATTCAAGAAGAATTCGATGATGAATGGCGCCAAACTCTCAAATCCGAAACCATTTTTAATAGAGATTTTTCAAACTGGAGAAAAAGAATTGTTGAGAGTGGAAAGGCACGAGATCTCCAAATTCACGAATGGGAGAAAGAATTGAAGGCATTAGAAGAGGAAGAAGACGATGATTCTGGTTGGGGAACTTCCAGTGATTGTAGCAGTTTGGACAGTGAATTCATAAGGCTGGCACCAGAAGAATATTGGGAGGAGAGGTATACTTTCTATGTCAGTAAACCATGGCCGGAAATTTTCAATTATTGTCTTCATTGGTAATTCGTTTTTCTTTTTCTTTTACTTTTAGTTCGAATAATAAATTTTTACATGTAATACAGTGTAATACTTTAAAAAGAAAAGAAAACCAGTTCATCTATGAAAGTAATATCACAAAAAAACTAATACCCATCAGATTTTACGACACAATAAAACAATAAAATGTTTACAATTTCTCAAAATATCAACCCGTTTTGCGAAGGAGCTATGCCAAATTTCAGATATGGTTTTTCAAAAGTTTGAAAAGTTTATAACTTTTGCAAATCGAATACTTCATCCTCGTCCTCATCGTCCGATTTATACAACGGAATACGTTCAAATCCATGGTTTGAGCCGATTCCTGGAGAGAATTCAATTTATGATGAAACACTTTGAAACCAAATTGTGGGCTTACCATTGAAGAATCCTCTTCGATTCAAAACTGATGTAACTCTCTGTCGACACATAAATGTACAACTAATAATCATCAAAATCGATGCAATCGTTATAATGACCATATTCGATGACTGTACTCCAATGAATTTTTCGGCTGTTGGAGTTTTATCCGAAATCTGAAAATTTCTTCTTTTTTGGTGTTTAGGGATAAGCTTGAGTTTTTTAGTCCCCCGCATAATGTTTAGACCTTTTTAGGTTTTTTAGAAATTCTCAAAGTTTTCTTTTTGGTTACTGTAGATAGAACTTCTATCATAGAAGCTAATTTGCTTGTAGTTTTACTGCATATTTTTTGCAAACACAATCACGTCAAAATTCAGTAAATAAAAACTGTCTGCAATTAAAAAACTGCAGGAAGATTAGCTTCTCCAGTAATCTACAGTAACCTTCACGAATACCGTCGCGGTAATTTTCAGACAGAAAAAACCCGGAAAAGCGAAAAAGATTTTTCGAAAATAGCTGAATAACTTAAAAAGGTCTAACAATTTCGCAAAAAAATTGAGAAAAATAAGTTTGTTCTCTCGATAATTATTGAAAACCCCTTCTCAAAAACTTCCAATTTTTGTGTCTAAAGATTTTAAAGGTAGTGCACAGTCTCCTTAAAAATCCTTAAATAACTCCTTAATTGAAAAAAACCACGATCGCGGGGGACTAGAAAACTCAAGCTAAGAGCCAACTTCGTTTTTCGATGCTTTTTTTCGAGGAAGTATTTTTTTTCTGAATATTTTCTCTATTTTTATGTGACTCTACATGATTTTCTGTACAAAAAAACAATTTAAAATTCACCACACACCGTCTTCCACCAATCAGTTCAATCAGAAGAACACAGTAATCCAATTGACAATTCTACTCACCACAACAGCAAACTGAGCATGCATTTGTCCTCCAGCCGTTCTCACTTTCACCAAATGTTCTCCATTTGGAAGTGGAACAAATCGTCTTCCATTCAAAAGTGGAAGACTCTTATGCATATGATCAATTGAAACAGTCATTCCTTCCATTCCTCCAGTTATCCGAACTCCTCTCGTTCGTTCAATCAACGCGTTTTTCACTGATTTCTGATTCTCAGAATAGAGATGTCCACTAGCCATGTTCTCATAACAACATCCAATCTGTACGAGAAGTGCATCCAAATTATCAGCTGCGTCTGGAATACGCGAGAGTTAGAGAGACATTCTGAATGAAATACCTACGATTAACACCGGATTTATCCATTCGGGATGCATTGTCATTCCATGAAAACTCTCGAATTGCCTCCTTCTCATTTGGAAATCCTTTTGCACACCCTTCTGTCTCCGAAGATTTCATCAAATCGTGATTGGATCTATAGACTTCAGCAATCGGTTTTCCAATTCCAATCGTATCATTTATATATCGAACTTTCATTCCTCCAGTCGCTAGGATTATAACAAAATCAAGTTCTGGAACAGCTCCGATGGCTTCGTCTAACAGCAACTTGAATGGAGAAATCGTATCGTAGTCGTGACAATTCAATTGAGTATGTGGGATTTCTGGCATGAAGACCAGTGTGGATTTGCCCAAAATTTCCGAAAATTCTGCATTTGTTTCGGGGTTACAGTAAGTGGACATCATTTCATAAGCCATTGCTTCTGTTCTCTTAAAATTGAAAGTTTAAGTCGTGTTTTGCAAACTACGTAAAACCTGTATTAGAAGGGCCCCTCTAATCGCATTGCTTCCGTAGAGACCACACGAAAAACAGAAATGCTCCTTTTGATGGAAGGGCCCTTCTGTTAGATTACTAATAGCAACACATAAATTTATGTGGTTATCTGAATTTTAGTTGTTTTTTGTTTCTATTGAATTTTAGGTGTTTTAAAATTTTCAGCTAAAAACGATGTCTCTTTAATGGAAGTACCCTCATAGAGACCCCACAAAAATAGAAGGGTCGGCTCTTCTAATACAGGTTGTATTGCGTTCAATGATCGTACCTTCTCAACAGCCGTAATCAATGTGTATGGTGGTTTTCCAGATCCCATCAAATATAATTTATTAGGTCCACGAGGCAACTCTTGAACACATTCCTTTCGCTCAAGTTCAGCAACGGCGGCGCTGAAATTTGAATGTTTTAGTTCTCCTTTCTTATTTCAAAAGGTTCACTTTGTAACAAGAATCACTTGATCTGGAGTGAAATGATCTCCTGGATGGGCAGATGGAACAACGGAAAACTCATTGACACTGTCTTTGATCAATTCGTTTTTGATCATCTGCAAATCGAAACAAAATTATTGGGAAAGCTCTCGGCATTGAGGCTAACATCAGCAATCGTTCCAACTGTCGCTGCCTTCTTCTGCAAATCAGTTGAATCACAACCAACAGAAATTCCCAATTCAAAAGCCTTTTTCAACTGTAGATCATCAACTCTCAACGCAGTTTTTGATTCGAGTAGTTTTCGATCGCATTGAATTGAATTGCCAAGAGCTTTCAGCAAGGATTCGTCCATTTTTGCTTTGTCAAAAAGTCTTGGTTCGTTTTCAGATACACTGAATGTCAAAGTTTCAACAATTCCTTCGCTAATGATTAACACTGCTGCAGGGTCAAAATCAGAGAGGCGCTGTAAATTAGTTGAATCCATAAAAGAAGATTTCGGATTAGAACTTACTCCTTTTAGTTCGTTAGTCATATTTGGAATCAACATCAATGAAACATCTTTATCGATCGTAAAGTCTCCTGTACAAGTCAAACGAGCCAATTCATCGACCACTTGTCCTCCACTGAAATTAATGTACCGTTAAACCTGTATTAGAAAGGCCGGCCCTTCTTTTACAGAACCCTTCTGTTTTTCTAAGCCCCTCCCAGAGGACCCTTCTATTAGAGGGGGTCTTCTGTTAACCATAAGTGTGGTGTACGGTGAGTTGTTTCAAATTGGGCAGAAAAACATGAAGATTCACACAAAGTTTTTTTTTAATCCAAAAAAATGGAGATTGTGAAAATAATTTATTTTGAAGAGAATGTTTTTTTCTCAATTTTCTTGCAAAATTTTTAAGCCTTTTTCGGTTTTTCAGCTATTTTTGAAGATTCTTCTCCGCTTTTTCCTTTTCCGACTGAACCATATGCGCAAAGGTTACTGTAGATTACTGTAGAAACATAATTTTCTTGCTTGATACAATTTGTTTTTTCTGCATTTTGACGTGACTGTGTTTGCGAAAAAGAGGAAATTAGCGTCTACAGTAATCTACAGTAATATTTGCGCATACCATCCAGTCTATTTTCCGATTATAAAAAAACTGGAAAAGGGGGAGAAGAATTTTTGAAAACAGCTGAAACCCCTAAAAAGGTCTAAAAATTTTGCAAAGAAAAGTGAGAAAAATAATACTTTTCTTTTGAAAATTCGCAAGTTTTTCTCGAAAATTTCCAATTTTTAGTGTCTATCTAAATGATTTTCTGCAAAAAAAATTTCACCGTACCCCACCTCTAATAGAAGGGCTCATCTAATGAATATTTTACGGCATTTAATTTTTTAAAAGTGCAGCTAGCTTACATTTCATCGAATGATAACACAGCAATCAAGTTTTTGCCTCTTCCTCGGATGTACAATTCCGATTTCTGAAATCCAAGTTCTAATTAGACTTTAAAGTTCTAAATAAATTTCAAATTCCCTTAATACCGTTTCATTATCTCCACATGCCAATAGTGTAATATCATGTCGAACAGCTCTCGATCCAGGTATTACAGTTACAGTAAAAGTATCAGATTCAAGTCCACGCGCGGATACAGTAACTTGATGGTCTCCTGGTGGCAAAAGTCTCCAATATTCTCCAGCTTCCGTTGAGATTATATCCTTTCCAGTCTCCACAGAAATTGTTGCGTTGGCTACTGTATTATTATTTCTATCCACAACAAGACCCGTAACTCCTGTCAATCCCATTTCCATAAAAGAGAGAAGCGAAAACTGATGTTCCTCCCATAACTTTGGCATCATGTCATCAGTTGGAAACTTGAAACATCCCATTTCTACAGTAATCTCCAAGCAATTTGTATGCTCGTATTGCCAATCCTGCATTCCACCAGCCAAATGATACCATCCAGCACCATTCGTAATTCCGTTTATAAAATTGTCTCCATCAGCCGACAATCCACATCTTCTTCCAGTTTTCCACATTTTCGTATGGGCTCTTGCATATCTATAACTCAATTCTACGAATAGTTTGTCGTCTGCACTCTGAAATTATTCAAATAATTGTGACGTTCAATGTTGCGAAATGGTTTTACAGCAGTATAAATTCCATCTTGTCCAGTTACAGAGTCGTCGTAAGGATAATTAGCAACTAGACTTCCTCCATGAAGATTTGTACTCAATACGAAAGGATATGATTGAAGCCATTTCATCACAGCAACGTTTTCTCTGAAAAAATAATTTTCAAATAAAACTGAAAGGTTACCTACTTTTCTGGATCATTTCCTCCGGATGGCTCTCGATGTTGTGGGAATTTTGTAGGGAAGTTTCTATTCAGATCCACGTCGTTCGCATTAGCACGTCCCTAGAAATATCGATCTTGCTTGATTTCAGGAAGTACACCTTACCATCGCCGAAATTCTATCTCCAGCAAAACCCTTCTCGTATCCATCTGGATTCATAGATGGCATCAAATGGAATCGAGCACCATTCACTAACTGAAAATTGAAATCAAAACTTCAGAGTTTCAGAATAAAACTTACACCAGTCAGATACTTATTTTTTCCATAATTTGTACATAAAATTTCAGCCAAATACAAAACTGCTTCACGACCAACCACCTACAAAAATGAAACTCCTTTTTGGAAAATCAATGGAAAACTCCTACCTCATTTCCATGCATATTTCCAACGATCTTCAATTCTGGCTCCAGTAATTCGTGTTCTTTCGGTTTATCAGACACAATCAGAACCCATAATTCTCTTCCTTCCACAGATTTTCCAGCAGAATACAAATGAGTGATATTTGGATAATTAAGACGAAGTGCCTGGAAATTTTAAACTCTGAAATTCAAAGTAAAAAAAAACTCACTTGAAGCCAAGCAGTCATTTCGTTATAATTGTGATTTTTCAATCTGGTGGTATTGACATTGATGAAATCTCCAACTCTGGAAATTTTCAGAAATTTTGAGAACAAAAAATTTCTGAATCTAACTTTGCTTTCATTGCATCCCAAGTTGGAAAGAATGTGGTATTTCTCTTGTCATTCCCGAAATATCGAGTGAGAGCATCTTGCTGAAAATGTTTAGTATTTTGAATGAAGTTTTAGATTTTCTATTTATTTTTAGTGTGCTCAGAATTCCAGGTTTACCTCGGCCATCTCATTTTCGCGTTCCGATGCAAAAATGTCAGCTTTCCATGATAGATCTTGTTGTTGGGCCCAAGTGAGAGTGACGAAGAGAAAGAGACCGCAAAATAGTCTCATATCTGAGGAAAGATAGCTTTTTTGGGAACAATTCAGATGATTTTAGTGTGTTTGAAAAGAAAACGGTCTCCCACAGAATGAAGTACAAACTGCAAACTTAATTATGGTCTACCATGAAAAAAATTGGTTTGGCTGGTCTGGAGCATAGTTTCAGAATTTGAAATCAAAGGCCACCCATCCCACCAACTTTGACCTACAACATCAATTTTTTTAAAGGTAGATCAAATTCAAATCCGCAGTTCTTCTTTGACCGTGAAGAAGAAAAGAAGGAACTTGTTTAATTTCAGAGTGTTGCGTGGGAGAAAAATACAATAAAAATGAAGAAAAAGGAGAAGAGAAAAAGGGAATGTATGAACAGCTGAAGGATACCTGTAGACATAGTTTTGTATCTGAAGTTTAGATCAAATACTTTTTAGTTTATTCAATTAATGGCTATAGACTTCTCTGGGTAATAAGAAATATTTCGAGGATTAAAGTAAGAAGATTAAAGTGTGGCTCCTGAGGATTACCGTATCACAAATTCATAAAAAAAAATCTGAAGAAGACATTTGGAAACAGTGAAAAATAGTTGAAAGAAGTTCTAGCGAGAAACTCATTTCCACACTGTTCAAACATTTTTGGCTAGAGATCAAACTTGTAACTAGACGCAGGTGTGAAACGAAGAAAAGAACTATGCGGGGTGGCGATGTAAAAGGAGAGAAATCAGGATGTATACGGTTTCCGCATTTCGGCAAATAAAGAAAATGAGAGAGCTGTCAATGATCATGATAGATCAAGACGAAGAACAGTGTTACTCGGCAAAAGGGAAAAATATCGAAAAGAAGAAAATGGTAAATCGAATAGCAAGTGAATGTTTTGGCGCTACGAGAGCAGAGAGAGGCGCATAATGTAAACATTCAGCATTGAATTGCGAAGAGAAAATGAAAAGGGAACGAACAACTTCATGTGGGTCTAGAATGAATATATTAGATAGTAAGTATGGTCAGTAGGGATAGTGATCTTACGGTGTATTACAACAATATCGGCAGAAACAGGAGCGTAATTCGAGCCTCCATTTACTCAACATTTGTTTAAGCTAAATGAAAAAATAGACAGCTATTCCAGATTGTGGAGAAACACTCAAAAATACAGTTTGCATTTATGGCTCTCGCTCCACAAGTGAGAAATTGGTACTTTCAGAGCATAAGTTTTCAAGTTCAACAGTTCTGAGAAAAATGCCTAAAGACTCTGTTATTATACCAGAAGTCAGTCGCTGACACTAATTTTACTCGTATCAAAGTCGAAGATGCGGAAGAAAAAATCTTGTAAGCTAAAATTTTCAAATTTTGTATTGAAAACCTCCAAACAAGTCCAAGAATAAAATTTTTCTAAATCTAAACGATTCCCGGAAAATGGACCAAAATCATGAAAAAATATATATGTAAAAATCAGTTGCTAATTACGGTAGCTCGGCCACCAATCATTCTCTTCCACAGCTCCGATTTTTCTGTACCAGCATAATAAGCATTCATTCGCTTTTGTAGAAAAAAAGTGGTTTATACCACAAAACGATAACTAAAAACTAAAGTAAAAAGTTGTTATCCTTTTCAAACTATTATGATTTTCGCCTTCCTTATCTACTATAATTTAACCTAGCTAGAAAAAATGATCCGATTTAATTGACCGAAGCCTCGTCGGGATGATGGCTGATCGATTGTCCTATTCTTTCATCGCGCAGTCCGAGACATTGAAAATGAAATAGTATATAAAACAAGGAGAGGTTTCGAGAAAAGACAGTTTGACGATCCGATGAAAAAGTGAGAGATATGTATGGTAAATATGCGGAAATAAGGCGAACATCGGTAGAGACGCAGATACAAAAAGTCAATGCATTTCTGGGTTAGTAGACAAAAGAAAACGAAGAGAGGAAAGTAGAAAATAATCCCGAAGATGGGAAGTTTGAGATAAGAGACCCAGAAGATCTTCGAGATGCATCGGATGATGTGATGGGTAAAGATTTACAGTTTTTGATAAATCAGGAGTCGATCTGGCTAATTTAAGTAAGTCATCTACCGTAATCCAGTTCCTCTCAAATTTGAAATTTTGGAGACAAACCACGTTTGAAATGATTTTATTTATAATAAAAAGTATCAAATGACTGTGGATGATCAGGAATTCCGATTTGTCGCCGGAGGAGATGTCTTCGAAACTAATGATAAAATACTTCGGATCGGATCTGGAAAAGTAACAAAATTCCCGAGAGCCGAAAACAATAAAAATTTTCAGACTCTCATAAGAGTTTATATTTTATGGAATGCGATATTAGCCATTTTATTTGTGATACTCAGTCTTTAGTGAGTACTGTAGGATAGTCGACATATTCAAAAACAATCCTTTCAGCACTCAATCTTCTATCAGTATTATCTTCACACTTCCATTTGTAAGCTTTTGATATACTTGGTACAGAAGTTTAAAAATTCAGTTTGGCGCCTGTTTCGTTTTTATATTTGCACTCCGGATGAAGTCAAAAATGATTTTTGGAATACTAGCAACTTATACGGTGAATTCGGAGATTATTCAGCAAAGATATCATATTTTATTCAGATGATTTCGCTTGGAAATACTCTATTCCGAATGTTCGTGGGTCTTAATGATGGGGATTGGTTTGAGCGGTGTTTTGGTATTCTAGAAAAGTTATAGATTCGGTTTTTAAACATAATTTCCAGGTGAATCCATAGACACTTTCCATTCAGTAATCACAATTCTTTATTCAATTTTTCAAGTGTTTATCTCTTTTATTTTGGTTCGAATGAGTTTTTGGTTTAGTTCAAACTATAAAGGAACAAAGCTTTATTAATGCTTTTTAAGGGAAATGGATGCGAGTTGCTGCTGCTGTCATTGTTGTATCATATGTTGCTGCTGTTGTCCGTGTTTCGAAAAGGTGAATGATGACGAATGGAATGAAAGAAGTGAAAAAACTTCGAGTTTAACTGAATAAATCTTTCTCTGTATTGGTCAAACTTTCTTCATATAAATTTAATGAGCAAAAAAATGAATATAATTTTTCATCTAGTATACCAAACCTACAGTACCTGGCAATAAGATAATACAAAAACATATGTTTAGTTGATTTTCGGCCATTTTTACCATTTTCAGTAGTTTGGAGCTTGGTGGTTAAGTTTCCAATTACTTTCAGAATTTTGGATGGTATAGACCTAGATTAAAAGCTCAGTACGTGAAAGGGTCCCCCGCCCTGGTCTCCGAGGACCATTGTTGGATAATTTCCAAAGTTCCTTTTCCCTGGTAAGAAGCTTTGCATACGCTTTTTATTGATATTTGATCATTTCTTTTAATCTTTGACTGAATGTTTTGCAAAAGGGGGACGTTCAGTGGAAATGATTCTACCTAGCCCAAAAGTTAAGCGTATGCAAAGAGCTTTTTACCAGAGATAAGGGCTTGTGAAAATTATCCAACAATAAAATTCACAGAGTCTGATTTCACAGAGAACTAGTTTTTTTTTCAATACTCTGGTAATCGGTTTCCAACCAGATTCGGGAAAATTCCGGAGCAGAAATGGCTCTGGTTAGAAAATTGTCCGAATCGGGTTGGGAAATTAGCTTTCTCGGTCGGATCTGGTCAGAAAATCACAAGATCTGGTTGGAAAATAAAAACTTTCCGAATCTGGTTGGAAAATGCGCGTTCCCGCATCTGGTTGGAAAATTGCCCGAAACTGGGTAGAAACCGATTACCAGAGATACGTGGAATTTTTTCAACGTGGACAGAAGCTGGGGACGTGACCGAATATTTATTGATTTATTAATTTATTGCGTTACCTGAATAAAAAATAGAAAATTTTTGTAAAGCTTGAAAATTGAATAAAATTTGACATGACCTTTGGAAAGAGAGAAATCAAAAAGTGAGGAGCAGAATCACAAACAGTAAAATAAATCTCGCCGAGGGCGCACCAGACAGCTGTTAAACTGTTTATTTAAGTAAACATTTTATTCGATAGTCAATCAATTTTCTGATCACTGTCTTCGTTATCTTCACTTTCGGAACATTTCGTACATTTATAAGCTCCCATTTCCTGGATACATTCATATATCGCATTTTTCTCCAAATCGTGCTCATCTGCTAATCCGTTGCACCTGAATTTTTTACTTGCTCCGTTTTTTTATATAATTATTATTCTAACCAACTCAAACGCATCAAAACGACGGCGAAAAGTGAGCTGAAGCCAACTCGAACAACGGAGAACACAACCAGAATAATGTTATCTGGAAAAAAGACATTCAAAACATTTTTGTTTTAGAAATATGCAAAACTAAACCTGTGTAGAATGGACTTCTCACTTCTAAAGCCACCAAGATTCTTGTAAAAAGGAGATAGAATTCAGAGAATGTGTCAATTATCTGTATAAACTTAAGTTATATCTGTATAAACTTAAGTGATATTGAACAGGCTGATTTTTGGGTTTGAAACATACATTAAAAATGGAAATTATGGTAAATAATGTCTTTGATTGGCACCAAAGTGAGCATAGCAGAAGAACTACACAGAAAAACTGAAAATTCAAATTAAAAAGTATTTCTGAATTCGAAATTACATTCAGAATCCCACTTGACGTATCCGTTCCCTTGTCATGGACGATACTGAAAAATGAAAGAGACAAATGTGAAAAGACCTTTTTTCGATCACCTTATCATGAAAAACAAAATATTAGCCACTCCGAGAATCAGTTGAATTATAATGAAGTAAATTATCCAGTACTAGAAACCAGAGATGTATAGGTTACAGTATAACTACAAGCTTCTCCTCTTCACCTACTTTTCCTCGTAATCCACAAATATGAACAGAAACATTTGATAAATCAACTCCTGCTACTTCTCGCCTAGGATTTTTCATTTCAATGATATTATTTTCGTTCAGAAGAAAATTTAGAAAATTAAAGAGCCAACATTTATTATTGGGAAAATATCGGTTGAAAAAGAACAAAAAACGGTCACGAGATTCAAGACCAATATTACCATATTTTTTCTTATATGGTAATATCAACAACCGAAACCGCCTTCTTTGGGCTCACTCGATTCCGGTGGAAGATATCAAAAACTTGTCAACTGAAAATATTGACGATAATATGATAGATAATTTATCAGTTGATAAATTTTTGATATCTCTCACAGGAATCGAGATAATTGAGCTTAAAGAAGGCGGTTTGGGTGATCTTCTAATACAGGAAATACGGTAACACGTAAAGATGAAAATTCAACGAGATTTAGATAATAAAGGATGACAAACGATGAGGATGACACTAAGATACTTTAATAGCGGGATGCAAATAGAATTGAAACATTTTGAATAAGATAAACACATATTAAGAAAAAAAAACAGAAAGTTACAAATTTCTTCGGATAGGCTTTGCGAATTGTCTCATAAAGTTAATATGACAGATGTCGGTACACTTTTGAGAACTGTTTTGAGAGTGTGTACTGTAGTTGTTGTTGCTGAAGACATTACTTGAGCGGTTAGCTTCCGATGACCACGGAGAAGAATCCGGTTCAGTTTCCTGAAACTTCTGGAACAAATATAGATGATGAGAAGATAACACGACGACGGTACCTCGGTCGATCTTGACAGATACCACTCAGTTTCTAACTTCGGACCATTTCGAACCACCAGGATTCTGAAAATGGAACTATGTGAGGTATATGAAGCTACTTTCCTACCGCCACGTGTCAGCTGCCAATCTTGTGTAAAAGTATACCAGGCGAGATGCGAGAGTTTCATATATAACCTCCTTTTTTCCTTTTTGAATATACTCTACAATTGCATCATTGAAAACAGGGAATGCCACTCGGAAGACGTCATTGAAACGGCTTTTCGGTAGAAGAGAAGAATCCTCACGAAAGCTCAAATTGGAAATATGGCAGCGATAGATGTCGTGAAGAATTGTTGCACACTGAAAAACAATTTTTAAAGACATTTTTTCTGGTTTTTCTGTTACCATTCCAGCTACAACTTTTTCATGGTCAGCTTTGTCATTTGCCAGAATTTTGACAAGAATGTGACGTACACTGGACCAACCGTGATTCTCGCTGGTCCTTCGAAACTTACTGAAAAACATAATTTATTGGTTTGATCTTCAAACTTCCGATTTTACATGATATCTGCCTTTCTGATTTTCCAGGCCAAGTATTGGACGGTTTGTACCAGCGACTCGTATATTTTGATATCGTTCTTCGAAATGTTTCGGATAAGACTTTCTCCGAATATGGTTACCATAAGCTTCCGAGCGTCTTTGCTGCCATTTGCCTGACAATCAAGACATTAATAGGAACCCTAATAATACATTTTTGTTACTATTTCATAGAGGGAAGACGCAAAAAGGCGCAGACAGAGGACATTCTTCACATCTCCAACTTTGTGATTATCGTACAATTCGTTGGAATGTTCGACTGTATTTGACCATTGGGACTTCAGTGGTTCGTTCCAATCGCTTTGTAAGTCACTAGAAGTGTTTTTGTTCCATACATAGAAAAATTCAAATTTATCAAACCTCCAAAAGCCGTCCTCGTATGTCTTTTCAGTTGATTGGCCGTTCATTCTTAGCTGTATAGCTACCGTAAATCCTGTAAATGTGACACATCGTTAATTTTCAGAACCTGTTGTTTCTTATTTTACGAAAATTTTGTTAATACTATTGTTATGTTTAATCAACGAGCAAAAAAAATGATTTGGTTGTTTTATCTGAACTTCTAATTTACTAAATAGAAAAAAGAGGAAAAATAGTATAAAATCTTCTTCTTCGAAATACTTTTTCAATGAATAAACTAGAGGAAATCGTTGTAAAATAAAACGAAAAGACATAAACAACAAACAATTTTATAGCAACAAAACAATTGTAACAAAATCAACCCATAAAAAAAGAAAAAACATTCAAAGCATTGTATTTCTTCTGAGCTTTGCTGCCTTCAACTCATTTACTTCCTCCTTCAGCTCCTTGTGTCTCGCATCTAATCTCCCTAGCTCCGCCTTGAGATTTCGATTGATTTCTAATGTCATCTTGTATGCGTTAATCCACTTTTCTGGAACCTTTTCTCTGTCAATTGCCGATAGGCTTGAGAACGCTGTTGCACTGGCAACAGATGACGGTCGCAAATTTCGGGCAGATAAAAGTTCTTCTTCTGTGACTTCCTCCAATAAATTATTGTTGAGTGCAGAGCTATTAGAGGCGGGTAATGAGCTATTTGAAGTCACTACTGGATTGAACTCTTTGATGAAAGACTTTTTAATGCCATTATTCGACGAATGTGTTACTTGTGGAGGTGGCTGAAACAAAATCAATATATTTACTGTACTTTTCATAGAGCACTTACCACTGTTGGATCGAAATCCCTTGGCAACCGGTCTATTTTCGGCACAACGGCAGGTGTAGGGAGTAAAAATTTTAGGGGATTTACGACACGTTCTTCGACCACATTCTTCTCGTGAGAATTTTGGTAGGTAGTTTGGTAGTTACTTTTGGTAGTTGCTTCATCTTCAATCTCACCATCATAGAAAAAGCGTAAGGTTTGTGGATCAAATTTGAGAACATGCCGTAAAGTGTTCAAAGTGAACTTAACGACAAAAAGTAGTATTTGATGGTAAATTTTCCGGATGTCCGATTTTGATTCCCTTGGCCCGGTGAAGAATGAAGAAATTACATCTCGAACATTTTTATTCACTGAAAAAAGTAATTTGAATGAATCAAGAACTTTACACATTCAAAAATGCTTACATTGGGTGGAAAGGATCTTTAACTGAGTCTCATCCAGCTTTGTTGTCAACGGGACATTTCTAGTTATATTTTGAGCGAAAGGGAGCCACGGTCCATTTTCAAAAATAGCGAATTCTTCGGTTTGCAGCACGGTTACCAACATTTCTCTCAAAAAATTGCGAAGCCTAACATCGATATGTTCTAGAATATTTTCGTCTTTAGCCATCACCGACTTGATTTTTTTTCTGAAAAAAAATTGGGTGAAGCGTTTTTGGATTTATTTGGTATTCACCTTAAAACATCGTTTTGCAACATGCCTTTCATTTGTCGTTTAACCGCCATGAGCCAATCGGCAAGGAACACTTTCAACGGTCCAGGGAGAACACTGATTAGCTTTTTTTCCAGAACAAACTCCAGGAGCGGAATTGTTTTTTGGGGAAGAGTAATCCATAAGGAAGGAAATTGGTTGCGCTCTAAAAACATGGATGGCGCTTGCGATAGAATATCAATAGTAGGATTCATTGAGAAAGGTTTGGATGCAGTAGAGAAAGAAGTTGATGTTGTTCTCTTTGAAAAGTTCCGTTGTTCCGAAAAGTTATTATCATTAGAGGAAAGACGTGCATGTTCCCTTTCTCTTCTCCCAAGATGCCTTTTCCGTACACGTACAGGAGCTTCAGTTTCGGTCACTGCGGTATCGTTATCCGAATCTGAAAAGTGATGTTAGACATGAGTTGTTCTTGGAAACTTACCGGAAAACACCTTTCTCTTGTTTTGCTTTCTTTTCATCATGAATTCTTCTGTAAACTACACGAAGATTTATGAACGATACATTTAATTTAATACAGAATACGATTAATTCAACTTCGATAGTAAGATATAAGAACTTTTAAAATACAGTTGAAAAATAAAAGATTTTTCAAAAAGGGACTATTCTTTGACTTTTTTCAGTAAAAAATGTTTTCTGTCGGAATCCCCTTTAAAAATACAAACAATCGCGATCGTTATTCTCGGCCAAAAGGCCGCGGCCACCCAGCAAATTTAAACGCCGGCACTAAAATTTAAGCAGACAACGGATTAATAAGAATAACATTAAGCGGTGAATAAAAAATTCGGAAAAAACTCATAATCTCAGTTTTTAGGATCTTGGTGGTACTATCGTACCAAGACCCTTGTTCCTCTAACGAGAAAATTACTTCATGAGGTTATTCACCAACATGTAAATAGAAAAATTCGGAGAAATTGAGAAAATTCCGCGAAACCGCGGAGAATGAACCAATCTAGCTGAAATTTCGGAGAAAATCGGAGAAAATTATAGAGAGCATATTCACAAAATTTTGGGTCGCAAAATTAATTTTGAAATTTTGGCTGGAATTTCAGACAAAATGGTCAAAGTGGATATTTTGACCCCAAATTTTGTGAATATGCTCTCTATAATTTTCTCCGATTTTCTCCGAAATTTCAGCGAGATTGGTTTATTCTCCGGTTTTGCGAAATTTTCTCCATTTCTCCGAATTTTTCTACATTTTGGTGAATAACCCCATCAAAGAGGAGTTTTTTCAATTTTGAGTATTTATATGGGATTTCTGGGTCATGTGCTTAAATTGAAGCAATAGAAAGCAAAAATAAACTTGTTTTTACCTTTTATACCGTACATCCCAACTTTCGTCTCAAAACCGTAATAGTTAAATACGTACGTGCCTTTAAAAAGGACTACGGTAAAAAATTTTGCCGACAAAGTTTTTGTTTCTTTTTTCCCATTTGTTCCTCTATTTTTACTTCATATTGCTCGCGCCAACACCCGCTGACGCGCCCTGACGGGCTTGTCTGCTCCCGGCATCCGCTTACAGACAAGCTGTGACCGTCTCCGGGAGCTGCATGTGTCAGAGGTTTTCACCGTCATCACCGAAACGCGCGAGACGAAAGGGCCTCGTGATACGCCTATTTTTATAGGTTAATGTCATGATAATAATGGTTTCTTAGACGTCAGGTGGCACTTTTCGGGGAAATGTGCGCGGAACCCCTA